CCAAACTGTAAACAATAAATAGTAATAATAATGTCAAATCAGACTATGGTTATATAGTGTTAGACAAAATCAGTATAGATATAGATATGATGTGTGCAGATATAGATGTATGTGTGACTGTCTGTATGTGTATATGTACACACACACACATTCACTAAAGCTTTTCATTTTTCTAGGAATTCCGAATGCCTAAAAAGATGTTAGTTTGTTAGATCAATGTAATTAAGCAATCCTTTTGAAAATTTTAATCTTCAATTTCTCTGATTTTAAACCACACATTCACATAGTCTATTTTAAAATCATGAACACCCATGTAATATGTGGAATAACGTTTACTGAATGTTTATTAAGTGCCAAGTGACGTGGTTTTTTACTTTCGTGCACTCTTATTTACTCCCCATGCAACCCGTGCAACGATGTCATTATCACCATTTACAGACGAAGACCTTGTCCCCCTCACACACTAGGAAGAAGACCTGGGATTTGAACCTGGATCCGTTTGACTCTGAAGTCTACCCTGCCCCCCTCTGCACCCTCTGTACTCATCTTCAGGGATGCCCAGCTCTCAAGCCTGGGGTGTTGGGCAGTTTGGCGTAATGACACTCATTGATCCCCAAATCCTGATTTAAATCAAGCTTCTGTTTGATTATCAGACTCTTGTAGACAAATGCTTTAGATTAACCCATGTCATGGGTTTGCACTGAATTCTGAAATATCTTTGGTAAAAGGCAAGGAAATGTATATTTACAAATCGTCTAAAAATTCCCTTAACTTCTGGTTTCAAACTTCGCCCCTCCCTAATTTTATCCCCAGTTGCAAACACGCCAAGCGGCTGGTCCTAGCTCCTGAACTCCATTTCCCCTGCCCACTCAGTGCTAAGGAGCCGTGAAATGGCCGCCTGGTGGACAGAGGAGCAGGGGCCTCAGTCATCCTCAGAGTGGATTATGGCTCGATAAACATCACACCACCACTAGCTTTGGCAGAGGTTGGCATGGCTCCTGAGCCAAACGTGGCCCAGCCGAGGAAGAAGGCTTTGCTTCCCAAGTGGACATTCCAGGAAGGAGTCAGATGATCTGAGTTATGGAAACCAAATGGCCCTCCTTTGTTTAGAGAGAGAGAGAGAGAAAAAAAAAAAGTCACTCGTTTTTGTGGTAAAGTGAAAACAGGCTCCAAACCAAACAATCCCTCTCAGAGCAGAAAATGCCAGCTCCCCAGAGTAGGCCCACAGCCTCTGAGGCTGATAAACTGATGGAAGGCCATGTCAAGCCTCTCCTACAGCCTCGGCAAAATCTCGCCAGTCCTCCCAGCAAGGTTTTCCTCCACTTTGCTCCAGAAATATTTGGTCTCCGAGGCAGGAAAGGAAAATGAAAGAGGGGAGAAAGTGAGAAACGTCTACTTGACCTTGGCCAGTCTCGTCCTCTCACTCCTTTCCAGGTGGGCTGGAGGGAAGGAAGAGGAGCTGCTCAGAGAAAGCCCCAGAAGTGAGGGCTGGCAGTGACACAGGCACGTGGTCCTGCCAGCCCAGAGAGGCCCCACTGGTGTGTCGCCACAGTGCGCTGATGGTACACCCTCCTCAGCGTGACCCAACTCTTCCCACAGAATGTAGCCAGGAGTCACGAGGCCTCCTGTGGCCACTCTGTGGCTTCCCTGTGGCTCTGTGGGCTGTCTCTGTGGGCAAGAATCTGCACTCCCAGGTATTACTGGTGCATGTGCAGCAGGATAAGCCATGGCCAAGAGAAAATTATATATAGGTTCTAGTCAGCCATGTCTGTCCCAAGTTTGGTTTATTCTCTAATACAAGCCTTTCCTGGAATGGAGAGGCTCTTGATGAGGAAAGAATCATGGAGAATTCAGTTCTAGTCCTGGCTTTGGCTTGCTGACTTGCTGTGCAATCACGAGTCACCATTACCTCTCTGAGCCTCCATTTTGCATCTAGAAAACGAGCCTAATGGTCCCTGCCTTGCCTTAGTTCACAAGATTGTCTGAGAAGGAAATAAAGCACGGCTTGTATCAAGAGGTGGCAGCCAGACTGTCTGGGCATGGATCCAAGCTCCCCTGTGTAACGCTGGGCAAGTTTCTTCTTTCTCTCTGTTCCTCACCTTTAAAATGAAGGGAATAATACGCTTCCCTGATAACACTGCTAGAAGGTTACATTTGATTGTGTGACGTATGCAAAGCACTTAGAGAACACCTATGCACACCATGCCCCAGGTGAGTCTCGCTGTCACGATTGTCATCATAGACGGGAAAACATCTTGCAAGTAATAATGCTCAGTTCAGGCACTGTGTGATCTGCCACTGTCATCATAAGCTTCATAGTTTTACTCCACACATTCTCATTGTTCCAGCAACATTCCATAATCTGCCAGTGCTTTTTCTAAGTATGAGGGGAACCTCCAATAGCTTCCTGTTGCTTTTAGGAAAAATCCCAAAAGCCTCACCATGGCCTACAAGTCCTTGGTCATCTGGTCCTGCTGCCTTTTCTAGCTTCATTTTGAGCCATTGTCTCTCTCAAATTCAACGGCCTTCTTGGCCTTGGCCTTTTTTGAGCTCTCAAAAGATCTGGGCTCCTTCCTGCCCCAGGATCGTTGCACTGCCGCTTCTCTGCCACTCCTTCTCCTCTTCATCTGACCTTCAGGGTTCAGCTTACATAGCCTTTCCTCAGGGAAGCATTTCCTGATCTTCCAGATGAGAGTCGGCCCCCTCCTTCTCCTTCTTTGTGGTTGCCACAAGTATAGTTAAATAGTAATTTGTGTAATTACTGGCATGTCAGCTCCTTGAGCGAGGTCCTTCATCTGTTTTGTTCGTTCCAAGGCCTAGCACAATTCCTGACACATGGTAGACATTCAAAAGATATATTTTTTAATAAAAATTAACTTATTTAATACCTATCTCCCCTGCATCTCCTATAAATTCATGAAAGCAGAGATCGTGTTTCTCTTCTCAAACCAGTCTCTAGCTCATAGTAGGCCTTCAGTAAATACTTGTTGAATGAATGAATGACTTGGAATAGTCTCCCTAATTTTCACCATTGAAGATTTCCCTAGACATCAGGGGAGACTGTAATTGACCATCCTCTTCCTCCTCCTTCCATCGAGACACAGTGCTTAGTGCTCAGATGTGTCCTCTAACCCCATCCCAGGTGGCTCTGCTCCTTAAATCCAGGCATGGAAGGTACGAGGCTTCCTAATCTCCACTTAGGCAAGTATTTAGTGTCAGCCACGTTCAAATGTCATTGGAGACATCAGTTTCATAACAAATGCCAATAGCAGAATATCATCCTTCAATTATATATGTATTCCTTTCTATCTTCTAGTATAGGTATTTATATTCACAACTTGATTAAAGGGACACATATTATTCATCTTCGTATCACCTACAGGTCCTACCAATTTTTGTACAGAGCATGTACCCATTAAATGCTGAGTCATAAAGGAATGACTACTATATACTGAGCATAGTAACTTCTCAGCCCTGCTCTTGGCCCCAGAATCTGGAACAGAGGGACTTTCTTAAGGAGTGCAAGATTAAAGCTACTTAACGCTTTTCCCGGTCATCCAGTAGGATAAGAGCAAGAACTTCCCCACTTCCAGAGAACCCCCCCCACTCCAATTCGTCTTTCACAGCTACATCTGCTACAACTTCCAAAATCATCACTTCAAATTTTTCTCCAAAAATCTCCAAAGTTCTTATCATAGCCAATAGACCTATGTCCAAATCCCTCAGTCTGACTCAAAGAACTTGGACCAGACTTCTTCCTATACTGAGCTTTCCAAATCCTACTGACATCCTACCCTGGAACACACCTTTTGTTTGCTCTGTCTTTGCTCCTGCCGCTCCTCCCACCGGGAATACCTCTTCCCCATGTCTGCACCGAAGCACAGCTCGAGTTTCTCAAGTTTTGTGTCCCCTGTAATCTCACCATGTCACCCACCTACGGAGAGCTCTCTGTCTTCTAAAGCCAAACGATATTTTGGCTTAGCCACGTCTCATATTTGTCAGTGAACTTTTTCTTTCTTTTTTTTTTTCATTGAAATATCATTGACATATAACATTCTATTAGTTTCAGGAGTACAACATAATGATTCGGTATTTACGTATATGGCAAAATGATCACCACAATAAGTCTCATTAACTTCCATCACAGTTACAAATTTTTTTCTTGTGATGAGAACTTTTACGATCTACTTTTTTAGCAAACTCCAAATATATAATATAGCATTATTGACTATAGTCACCATGCTGTACATTACATTCCCATGATGTCTGTATTTCATATCTGGAAGTCTGTACCCTTTGACCACCTTCATCTATTTCCCCCACCCCCACCCCCTGCCTCTGGCAACCACCAGTCTGTTCTCTGTATCTATGAGTTTGGTTTTGTTATTTTTGTTTGTTTGTTTTTTTTTTTTGGATTCCTCATATAAGTGAGATCATATGGTATTTGTCTTTCTCTGTCTGACATTTTATTTCACTTAGCTTAATGCCCTCAAGTTCCATCCATGTTGTCACAAATGGCAAGATTTCCTTCTTTTTATGGCTGAATAATATTCCATTATATGTATATATCACATTTTCTTTATCTGTTCATCCATCAATGAACACTTAGGTTGCTTCCATGTCTTGGTTGTTGTAAATAATGCCACATCAATGAACTTTCTCCATCAATATGGCATCTCTCTCAACCTAGACTTAGCTCCCTGAGGGCAAGTCTAATATTTTCTTGTTTCCCCTTAGTTATTCCTGGTCTATGGTAAGAGCTTGGTCTCTACTTGTTCATGGATTAACTCAATTGGACATATGGTGTCAGGGACTAGTATTCAGGCAGGAGACCTTGAGTTCACTCTAGTGGATTTTACAGCTCAAGACAACTTTCTATTTCAAAGAGTTAGTGCTTTTCTAATGTCTCCCTGGACTTGGCTGATGGTCTCTAGTAGTCACTGAATTTGAAATTATAAACTTGCCTTACTCCTCTTAATCCAGTGACTTCCTTTTTACAGATGAGAAGCCCTTTGCTGTGGAAGATACTTATTTGCTGTGTCCAGCGCCTATCTTAAAAGAAGTTGGCATGTAAGTTTTCACCAGCAACTGAACCTCATAGCCAGTGAGGAGCGGAAAGGGGGCGGGGGCACAAAGGGAAAAGAAAAGGTGTCTCTTCAATGTCATACCAGAGCCTTTCTATAGACTCCTCCAGTGACGGTGCTGATGCTTATAGTGAGCCAAACACCAGGTCAAATGTTTTACAAAGGATATCTCACTTCATCCTCCCAAGTTCCTGATGAACCACATATTCACATCCTCCCAATTTTACAGATGCAGGATCTGTGGCTGAGATTAAGATTAAGCAGCTTGCCCAAGGTCCCACAGCAGTAAGTGGAAGAGACTGGGCTCAAACCAAGGTCTTTCTGGCTTCATCACGACTACATTTCTAGAAAGCTCTCACACTTCCAAAAGCACTCTCACACACATTACCTATCATCATAATTGCCCTGCTGGACAATTATTATCTACTCCTTTGAGATAAGGAAACTCAGAAAGGATAAGTGAGTCCACAGCCGGTTCAAGGCAAACCAAGACCCCAGATTCAGACCGTCTGAGGCCAAGCTCGGTGCTTCTTCCTCTACACCTCTGCAGAGCGTCGGGTATTCACCCAGACTGCATGAGGTTCCCTGAACTAATTTATGGGGAGAATCTCATGGTGGTGCAATTACAATAAATGCTAGTGATGCGTGATCAAAATATTCAACAGAAGCAAGAGAACAAGAAAATAAATATGTGGGGAAACAGAGAAGCAATGTTTGTGAGAGAACACAAACTAGCGTCTCCAAAACGTGTCTGTAACAGGCTGAAGATAGAATGCTGGCTTTAAGGAAAAGATGCTCAACTTGTTCATCTGAATTCTGCTTTCAATCATTTCTTCAAATTGTCTCCAACTCGTGTTGCCTAACATCAGCCTGCAATACCACTGATTCCACAAACTAGACCTGCATCCATGCTGCAAAATGCAAGCAAAATGCAGGCTCATGTTTCAGTGAGTCTCTTGTAGATGGGAGGAGGTAGGAGGCAAATTAGTTCGTCTACTGCTGTACCTCTGTGGGTTGGCTGGGTGGTAACAAAGCCACTCCATCAGGATCAGATTGCTGAGAATCCAGATAACAACAGAACGTTAAGTTTACCTTGACCAGTTTATCCTCACTGACTTGAACCATTTTTTGCGAATACTTCATGCTACTACAATGTGACAAGTAAATTAAATGGAAGCAGCCTTTGCCCATTCAAAACAATTCACTATAATGAAGAAGGGCTGAATGCACTGTCTTGATGCGCAACCAAGCATATCCTGACATCCTTCTAGAAGTTAGAGTTGGAGGGGCCCTGAAGACCATCCTCTGCGTTTTACAAAGGAGACAGCTCAGGCCCCCAGGGAAAGAGATTACAGCCCCAAGTGTAGTTAAGAGCGGAGTCCACAGGGACCTATGTGTCCAGCTCTCGGCCGCTTGCTCCTTGCACACCAAGCTAAGTATCTCTGGTTCCGTTGTCATTTCAGGAAAGCCGCACTCCAGGTCAGCATGAACGATGGCCTGTCTTTCATCTCCAGTTCTGTCATCATCACCACCACACACTGTGTAAGTCATCAGCTTTCCCTTTACTGAAGGCTTCATTGTCATTATCATCACCCTGGAAAGTTTTCTGGTTCTGCATTCTGTTTACTGAGCTTTGATCCTGGCACTGCTCGGCCAACCTTGGGCTAGATCAGGGGGTGCTGACCCCGGAGCATCTCAGGAATGCCTGGTCGGGCTTCTCCAAGTTCCCCATTTCTGTCCCCAAGGGTGAGACCTGAATTCACTGGCGTAACCAGTGGTAAGATGGGGCCAGTGTCTGTGCAGTGGTGAAAGGGGACGCCTGGATGGAGCAGGTTTAGGAGAAAATGCACAGGAAGGGATTGGACAGCATGTACAGCAAGCACCTGTTAGGCAGTTTTTCTCTAAAGGGAAGTAACTGAAGGAAGATTTGGAGTATAAGGAGAGTCTTTATTTAAAATGGGAGAAATTACTGCTCGTTTATGTGATTGTGGAGATAATCCAGGAGAAAATGGAAAATTGATGAAGCAGGAGGCGGGCGGGAGTGGCCCTGGGCCATAGGGATTGTGAAGGCGGAGGGGAAGCTGCATCCTCTCTATCAGCTCCTCAGATGCCCCGTCTCTGGATCCTTCACGTTGGGTAGTTTTCATTTCTGGCTACACATAAAATCACCTGGAGAGCTTTTAAAAAATGTTAAAGCCCTTGACCTCGTGCCAGACCAATTGAAACAAAGTCTCTGGAGTGGGCCCTGGCCTTGGTGGTTCCAAGGCCACCTTGGGAAGTTCTTGTGTGCAGCCATGGCTGGGAACCCTTCAGCCTGTGCAGTTGCTCCCAACCTCTGTCAGGGTCTCAGAGCTCACAGTCAGAGCTTAGCTCATATGAGACCTGAGCCCCTAATATGAGCAGTTCCAAAATAACCTTTGTCTGAATATTGTTTCTGCAACCAAATGCACTTTTTCCATTAGATCATTCTAGAGACTAATGTGCTTGGCCTAATGGTCAGCTTGGTGATTATTACAGTCACTTCCTGGCTGACCTTTTGAGGACATGTTGTTAGAACCCCTCAGTAATTGGCGTTTTTGTCATTAACACCCTCCTAGATGGACAAGAGTTAGCAGGCATGCACTGAAACCAGTTAGGATAAAAATGAGTTATCTCATAAATGAGCAGGAGGCTGGGCCTCATAATGGACAACACTCCCTCCCAGCTCCCCACTCCTCCCCTCACACACACTTTTCATCATGTATTAGGAGCAAACCAGTTTTCTTGAAAGCAAGATAAGCCAGTGCAATGGGTGCAGGCAATGGAAAAGTTTTACTTGACCAAAGTAAGCGACTAGGGTTATCACAGAGAAGTGTCACCAATGAGAAATATCTGTGTCTCAGGCATCCTTCAGTTGAATGTCAAATCTAGAGACCAAATATGAAAACTGTGTGGAGAAGCAGTGAAATTTCTTCAAGTGTACCCTGCCTGATTCTTTTAGAAATTGACCCTTTTGGAATCTGCCAACCTGCAGGAAATGATTAAAATACCCCAAATCTAACAACTCCATTCCAGATTCCTCCTCGCTTTGGAGTGATCCAACAGTTTCGGCCTGTGTTTCTCATTATGTCTGACCATACCACAGAGAAACAGCTATGCTCTTGTGGTCACAAGGGCAGGGAAGTGGGAAGGGGAAACATCTCGGGACCACACCTGTGTTATGGCAGATCCAGGACTACAAATTTAAGTCCTAAGCCTGTAAGCCAAGAAGAAAGGGTGTCTTACTAATGTACTGCAAAATGGAAAGAATTCCCAGTAAAGTCTCTCTAGTTCTTCCTGACTCCCTCCAGCCTACACTTGCATCTTCCATCTCCTTCATCTGAGTGCACGTCACTAACTTTTCTGTTCTACTCACCCTTGATAAACACCACCTCCCAACATTTTCTGCATTATCCCCCTTTCTCCTGAGAATGCCGTGTGTCTACAACAAAATTATCACCACCCTAAGATTTGAGATCCAACTCCGTTCCTTCATTTTATTTGACAAATCTGCATTGATCACGCACAGTGTGCTACGACTGTCCTGGGTGCTTGGGACACATTCGAGAACACAACAGACAAAAATCTCTGTCTAGTGGGGAGAGGGAGGGGAGGAGAAGGCAGACAATGAACAATAAACATAATAAATGAATTACATACTATGTTAAAAAGTTATATATGCTATAGAAAAAATAGAGCCGAGTAAGAGGATTTGGTACTACTTGAGTGAGTTTTTAAGTAGAGATACATTGACAAGGTGGCATTTGAGTAGATACTCTGAAGTTAACTGTGAGGCTACAGGGAGAAGAACACGCCAAACAGACAGCCCCAGTGCTTAGACCCCAAGACCAGTGACACCTGGTGTGTTCGCTGGAAGAGAGTGAGTGAGGAGAGGAGTAGGCAGTGAGGTACTGGGGGTGGAGAGTGGAGGGTCTTGTGAGAACTTTGGCTTTTGCACAGATGAGCGATGTGATCTTGCATTTGAAAGACTGCTCTGGCTGCTGGAATAGCCTTGGGAAGACAGGGATGGAAGGGCTGTGACTAGCTAGAAGTGTTATGATAATATTTCAGGCAAAAGATGATGGTGGCTTGACTCAGGAGGGAGCAATGGAGATGAGAGAAGAAATCAGAGTCAGATATATTTCGAAGGCAAAGCTAATGGATTTCCTGAAGCATTGGATGTAGAGCTTGAGAGGGATCAAGAATGGCCCCAAAGGCTTTGGCCTAAGTAACTGAAAAGATGGAGTTGCCCTCAGCTGATAGGAGGAAGACCAAGGATGAGATTTGGGATGGAGGGGGACAATCAAGAAATCAGTCTTGCTGTCGACTGGTTGTATGGCCTTGACCAAGTTATTTAGCTCCTTTGTGCCTCAATTTCCTAATCTGTAAAATTAGAATAATAATAATTTACATCTTTTAGCAATATTGTGACTATTAACTGAAATGATATATGTAAAGTGCTTGGCAGAAGGCCTGGCAGGTAGTAAGCACTCGATAAATGTTAGCTGTCATTATAGTGGAAGTTTAGTCAAAATTATTGAACTAATTGGAGATTCCTCCCAGAGAGTTGGCTTCTCACTTCAGAGTCCCATTAGAATAAAAGAACTCTTCTGAGACAAGATGTATCCCTAGGAATACATGTTTGTCACTTGACCAAGTCCAGGTGGTTGAAAGGGGGCAGACACGATGGCCAAAATCATCCAGAGAAAGGAACTTATATTCAAATATACAACTCCAATCTCCAACAAGGCCCTACACAGAAGCTCAAAATAAAAAGACTGAAGCCATCGCTGGGCAAAAGAGAGATGCAGGTGGAATGTGTGGTCATCCAGAATATGAAGTAAGGTCTTGGACGTGCATTTGTTTCTTGGGCAGCTGGTCTGGAGGACACGGTTTTTAGATCAAAAATGATCCCTTGGGTCTGAGTAAAGGGTTAGTCTTGTCAGTGCCAGTCACAGCCTGCCCAGTCCATCATCTGGAACCAAAAATAATTTTAAAATATGTAGTTGAGATTTTTCTTTTCTCGCTTTATTTGGTGCCCGTTTGGACAACTGTGTCACAAATTTTCAAGATCCACAATGAATAACTGTTGCCCCTGCCAGGAGCAGAAATTCCATGAAATTTTACAGGAAAGAGATTTTTCCATCCAAGAGCTAAAAGATTCCTATACAAATGGTAAACTTTGTTGAGCTCCATGACTATAGAAAATGGTCAGACATCCAAAGTCCTCTTTTACCAGCATATTTAAATACATCCCATCTCTATAGTCTTAACTGGCCTCCCTTTTCTTCCCCAACCTGTAGAAATGGGTTGAGAAAATCACTAATATGGTGCTTCTTTAAGGAAAATATCAAAAAGAAGTTTTTCCTTTTGAGAACAGATTTTAGCACCTTAAAGAACTTTTCATGAAAGATTGTCTTCTTTTAGATAAACACCTTCAAATTCCATAATTTCCCAACCAAAGTGTACAAAAATCAGGGAATCATTCAACAAATACTTCTTGAATTCCTACTGTATCTCCAGTGCTTAATTTACATTTTACAAAGTTGCTATCCTTAGGAGCTTAAAATCCAGTTGGAGAAATGAGTCCAACGAGCTTAAAAAGCGTATGTAAGAAAGAACAAGATTGTGTGAGCCAGGTCTAAAAGCTATAGGATTTCAGAGAGGGGAAGGAGGAGCGAATCGAGGAAGAGTCATGAGGGCTTCATGAGGAGAAAACTGAAGTGGTGATTTGAAAAATGATAATTACAAGTGAAGAAGTTGTAAGAGGTGCTCCCCTAAAGAGAAACCAATCTGATCAAGAACTAGATATGTCCATGTGCATAGTTGTTCACAGTCCCTTCCAGGGACCATGACTCTTTTTTTCTTTTCCTCTCATTTTGTATCGATTTCTGGTGCCTTCTAATTTGGGGCCATTTCTCAGGTTGGCAACTACTCTCCTAGGATGTCCACTCCATACCCTTGATCACCCAGTCTGTAACAATGAGTCCCAGCTGATACTCTTCCCTATTAACCATGGTCAGGATTTGATTTGTATTGGTCTCCAGGTTGGAGAATCACCATCTTTGAAGAAAGGAAAGAGACCTAAAGCTAGACATAAGGTTCTAAAATCAACACTAAATCAATAGAGAACCCTCTCTTTCCTCCCTAATTTATATGAAAAACAGCCTGGCTACAAACAGCAACAAGGTCGAGTAAATTTGAGAGGACCCATGTCAAGTCACTGTTGAGAGAAATTCTTTTCGAATGAAAATAAAAATGCAACAAACTCAACCCAGAGGCATCAAAACAAGAACAACTCTCTATAGTTGGACTAGAATGGAAGAATTAAGAATACAAGATATTGAGTCGAAAATCCTAATTTCAAATGCCAGCCCTTCCACTTTCTAGGGTAATCTTGGGCAAGTTAGCCTGAGCCCATCTCAGAGCCTGTCTTGCATGGTTGTTGTAGAGATTAAAGGTAAAGTATGTAAGGGGCTTGAGGTACATGGTAGTCTGTCAAAGAATGACAGCTGTTTATTAGT